CAAGTAACCGGACCTGGAGGAGGCCGCCAGCCCCCACGGCAGCGATCACAGCAGGAGAGGGGCAAGAAGATGGACGGCGGCACCTAGGGCGAGATTGTGATGACCTAGATGAGGAGGAGAGGCAAGGTCGCCGACACCTGGGGTGTCGGTTCATCATGGGAGGAAACACTGGAGGAGATTCGGTATCCTCCCGGAAGAAGTGGAAGAACATGGTGTACCTGGCCGAGGTACAAAGGCCACCGCTGCCTAAGCGAAAGAAGAAGGAACCTCTGATCTTTACAGACGAGGATTATCCCCCAGTCCTCAGTCCTCACAGGGACGCTCTGGTGATAAGAGTGGAGATCAATAATGTGGTTGTTCACCGAACCTTGGTCGATACGGGCAGCTCGGTCAACGTAATGTACAGCAACACCTTTAAGGAGTTGGGATTGTCCCGAAGCGACCTGAAGCCAATCCATACGCCGCTGTCAGGATTTACAGGGGATACTATTGAAGCAGAAGGAACTATCACGGTAAAGGCCGGGGTAGGAGATGGCACCCACCGACTCTGGGTCGACATGGAATTTATGGTAGTACAGCTCGACTGTGCACACCATCTGATTCTGGGACGACCAGGGTTGGAGGACCTGGAGTGCATAATCTCCCCCGTCCACTTATGCCTAAAGTTCAACACTCCCACAGGGGTGGGAGTAGCAAAGGGGAACCAGAGCCTGTCACGATCGTGCTACGTCAGGGCGACCAAAAGCCAAGCCCGAGTCGACGAGAATGTGAGCACGATCTGTGCGGCGATCCAGAAGGAGGAGGGGCGACCCCGAGCTGAGCCGGCGGAAGAGGTCGAGGAAGTTTCTTTGGACCCGGTTGAGCCAGAGCGGAAAGTGAAGGTAGGCAAAACCTTACCGCTTGAATTAAAGGAACAGTTATTGGAGGTCCTCCGAGCATTCAAGGTGCTATTCGCTTGGGGACCAGAGGATATGCCAGGGGTCGACCCAAAAGTTATCTGCCATAGATTGGAAGTGGATCCGACCCACAAGACGGTCAAACAGAAGAAGCGTTTCCTTTCCTCAGAACGGAGAGAGTTTGTCACCAAGCAAGTGACCACCCTGCAATCCATTGGGCACATCCGGGAAGTCCTCTACCCGGAATGGTTGGCAAATGTAGTCCTCGCACCCAAAGGGAATACTTGGCGGATGTGCGTCGATTACACTGATCTAAATAAAGCTTGCCCGATGGATCCTTTTCCTCTCCCCAACATTGATCAATTGGTTGATGAGACGGCAGGATGTGAGCTAATGAGTTTCATGGACGCATTCAGTGGATACCATCAGATCAAGATGGCAGGGGCGGATGAAGAAAAGACCGCTTTCATCACCCCCAATGGGGTATACTGTTACAAGGTGATGCCTTTTGGTTTGAAGAATGCTGGGGCGACCTATGCACGGATGGTGAACAAGCTGTTCGCGCTGGTACTAGGGGGGTGCATGGAAGCATACGTGGACGACATGATTGTCAAGTCCAAACGGACGGAGTCTCATGCTGGCGACCTGGAGAGAGTATTCAAGATCATGAAGAAGTTCCAGCTTCGCCTTAACCCCAAGAAATGCACATTTGGGGTGCAAGGGGGTAAATTTCTAGGACATATGGTCAGCCGGAGAGGGATCGAGCCTAACCCGGAAAAGGTAAAGGCAATTTTGGAGATGGAGCCTCCGCGAAATGTAAAGGAGGTCCAGCAGCTCACCGGCAGGATTGCTGCTCTCAGTCGTTTCTTGTCAAAGATAGCTTATCGAGCGGCTCCTTTCTTTTAGACCATTAAGAAGAGTAGAGGGTTCGTTTGGACCGAGGAATGTCAACGGTCTTTTGAGGGGTTAAAAGCATATCTCCTCTCCCCGCTAGTGCTTTCGAAGCCAGAGCCCGGAGAGACCTTATTCCTATACTTAGGAATCTCTCCTCGAGCTGTGAGCTCGGTGCTTGTGAGGGAGGAGGAGGGCGCACAGCGACCTGTGTACTATGTGGCCCGAGTGCTGCGAGGGGCGGAGTTGAGATATACCAACATGGAGAAGACCATCTTTGCGGTAGTGTGTACGGTGAAAAAGCTCACCCCATATTTTCAAGCCCATCCGGTCCATGTGTTATCACAAATTCCCATCGGAACACTTCTTCGAAGCCCAAATGCCCCGTCACGGGTCAACAAGTGGGGAGTGTTCCTGGGATCCTTTCAAATAGAGTTCAAGCCGCGACCGGCGATAAAGGGGCAAGCATTAGCAGATTTCGTGGTAGAGTGCACTGCGAGAGAGGTAGAATCTAGTGGAGAAGAACCCGAAGGGAATTGGTGGACCGTGTACACCGATGGGTCGTCCGCGACTGATGCTTCGGGGGGAGGTGTCGTGGCGATATCTCCGGAAGGGTTCAAGGCATACTACTCCGTGAGATTCCGGTTTAAAGTCTCAAACAATGAGGCTGAATATGAGGCACTGCTTTGCGGCTTGAGGTTGGCAGCCTCATTAAAAGCTGAGCGAATCCAAGTCC